AATGCTGATAGTTTTGCCAATAAATTATACTAGATACAGAATAATGCTGATAATTTTGTCAATAAATTATACCAGATATAGAATAATGCTGATAGTTTTGTCAATAAATTATACCAGATATAGAATAATGCTGATTATTTTGTCAATAAATTATACCAGATACAGAATAATGCTGATAGTTTTGTCAATAAATTATACTAGATATAGAATAATGCTGATAGTTTTGACAATAAATTATACCAGATATAGAATAATGCTGATAATGTTGTCAATAAATCATACTAGATATAGAATAATGCTGATAATGTTGTGAATAATTTATACTAGATACAGAATAATGCTGATAATTTTGTCAATAAATTATACCAGATATAGAATAATGCTGATAATGTTGTCAATAAATTATACTAGATATAGAATAATGCTGATAGTTTTGTCAATAAATTATACTAGATATAGAATAATGCTGATAGTTTTGACAATAAATTATACCAGATATAGAATAATGCTGATAGTTTTGTCAATAAATTATACTAAATATAGAATAATGCTGATAATGTTGTCAATAAATTATACCAGATACAGAATAATGCTGATAGTTTTGTCAATAAATTATACTAGATATATAATAATGCTGATAGTTTTGACAATAAATTATACTAGAAATAGAATAATGCTGATAGTTTTGTCAATAAATTATACTAGATACAGAATAATGCTGATAGTTTTGACAATAAATTATACTAGATATAGAATAATGCTGATAGTTTTGTCAATAAATTATACCAGATATAGAATAATGCTGATAGTTTTGTCAATAAATTATACCAGATATAGAATAATGCTGATAGTTTTGTCAATAAATTATACCAGATATAGAATAATGCTGATAGTTTTGACAATAAATTATACTAAATATAGAATAATGCTGATAGTTTTGACAATAAATTATACTAGATATAGAATAATTCTGATAGTTTTGTCAATAAATTATACCAGATATAGAATAATGCTGATAGTTTTGTCAATGAATTATACCAGATATAGAATAATGCTGATAGTTTTGTCAATAAATTATACCAGATATAGAATAATGCTGATAGTTTTGACAATAAATGATACTAGATATAAGTTATATTATTTCAAATATTGAAATTGATTAAACTGCCAGAAAAGAAATGATAATAAATTTTGTTTTTGTTTGTTTTATTTCAGAAATGGAATAGAAGTATGCCGTGTTTCGAACAGAGTTTTGCTTCATGGTGAAACAATCTTGTTAGATAACAGTACAATATAGTTTGATTTTAATGCAAGATTCAACACCATTGAAAGGTAAGAGATTTATCCAATCTATAGCTTTGAATGTTAAAATATGTATACTTCTGTACTTCAGAAGATTTATTTATGAAATACATGTAGTTCGCAAATAATAATAATGATAATGATAATAATAATGATAATGATAATAATACTATCGCGCAACAATTTAATCCTTTAGGGAATGCTCAAGGCGCAATTTACAGCACTTCACTTGGCATTTGGTGGCTGAGCTGAAACTGATCCATTCTTGGACCCATTCTATACAAGCTACAATATTTTCAATTTTGAGGTGTGTGTTTGAATCAAAGTTAGGGTGATCCCTGTCAATTTTAATGCTTGAACTTGAACAAAAATAAGTGGTTACTGTCTCGCACTGACGCTGCAGTCTTAACGCAGAATATAAGAAAAGTAGACCGAG